TTTCGCAAAGTTTTGGCTTTGTGTCTCACGAGGCGACAGAATAATTGATCTAAAATTAACGAGCCATCAGGTATATGTATATTCTTTCGTGTTTCGTTGACAGTATTTTTATGTATGTGCATATAATGAACAAGGTGAGTATGACAAGTGAAGAGTCTGTTTTATCTCCGACAATAATGATACGTCTTCAAATGTGGGAACCGAGTTGCGTGGCAAACATTGACAGATGCGGGTGATGATTTTCATGGAAGGGTTATCGTCAATCTCCGGGAAACTTTCACGTTTTAACATTAATATTATATACATATACATATATACGATCCGATCTGTGTTTATTTCCATCTCCCTAATTAAAATACTCGAGCACATTACTGGAATTAATTTAAGATAAATGTTTTGCTGTCTGATGAAAAAAAGAGAATAAACTATAAGCACACTTTCCATTAATTGCGAGCATTTCGTTTTTAATGGTCCTTCATATGTACATATGCATTTCCTGATAACATTCCTCTTACACTGATGACAGTATTTATATGAATGTTAATTTATTTGTTTTGTTTTTTAAAATTAGCAAAATATTATTATTATCCTATTATTTAATTAGGATAATAAAATATTATCCTAATAGATAATTAGGATAATTAATATACCTAATAGGATAATAATAATAATAATAATAATAATAATAATAATAATAATAATAATAATAATACGCTGAGAAAACGATTTATTTGATTCGAAGAAATTTTGTTTAAATCAAACTTAAAATATTTTTGCTATACAGTCAAACATATTTAAGTTTAATTGAAACATATTCTTTTGTTTATTTAAAGAAATATTATATTTAATTCAAACATAAAATTTTTAAACACAATTTTTCTTTAAATCAAAACAGAAAATATGTTTGAATTAAACATAATTATTCAAACAAATAATATTTGTGAATCAAAGCAGTAGATATTTTCTAAATATTGGGATTAAACTTACAAACTAATTTCAACTAAACAAAATCAATTCAAATTATTTTTCTATTTCAATTTAAGTATAATGTTTTCTCAGTGTAGTAATAAAAATAATAACAATAAAAATAATAATAATAAAATGATAATAATCTGTTAGAGAATCTATAGAATTATCATATAAGGAGCATATGCTAAAATGATTGATTTAATAGAATATATTTCTTAAATCAAAACATCAATAACTTCATTTTTAAATAAATATTTAACCATTATTATTTTTCCATAAGAAATCAGATTTTCAAAAATTTCAAATTCAAACCTTTTGAAATTCAATAACTTCTAAGCATATTTTTTATAAAACATGAAGATATCGATCACTCCGAGTCGAAGACTCGAAACGGTCGATTTTTTCATGTTTTATAAAAATTAAAGATTACCGAGTAATAAAATCATTATTTTATATTGTTACTCTGTACCTTCTTCAAAATTATTTTCATTATTATTTCAATTCAATTATTATTTTCTAGAATTTTAAACCAAAATTCTTCTTCATATCAATTATTTTCACATAGTTTTCGAAAAAATGCTTTGAGAATAAATTTTCAAATCTATTGGTTTACAATTGAATTTTACGAAATTTAGATTATTTGGAAATTTTCAATTAATATATAAGAAAATAAACTCCAAATAATTTTATAAAAAAATACAATTAAACTTATTAAAAAAAAAGTTAATTCTACAGAATTGTTAGTTAAAAGTATGAATAATTCATATTTTCAAAGATTTTAGTTTGAAACCTTTTTAATAATCTTATAATGCTTTTAATATTCAATTATTATCTAAAATATTAACTAAAAGTAATTTTGAAATCAATTTTCATTAGAAAATTCTACGAGCATTCAATTATTTAAATACAAAAATAAATAATGGAATTTTTTCGACGAAATTTGATAAAATAATTGAAATTCTGCGATAAGTTCTATTTATTTATGAAAATAATTGAATTTCTGAAAAGAATTTCATTATTTATGAAAATAATTGAATCTCTGTAAAAAATTTTATAATTTTTTGAAAATAATGGAATTATTGCAAAGAAATTTATAAAAAAAATTTGTAAATAATTAAATTCCTGTGAAATTTTTATTATATATGAAAATAATTATATGTTTGCGTAGAATTTAATCAACATTTTTTTTTTAATAATTGAATTCTTTTGGAAATTATATTTAAATAGTAGATGTATTGAAAATCATTAAAATCAGGAAATTTTTTGAAAATAATTGAAATTTTGCCAAGAATTTTATTAAAATTTTTGAAAATAATTGAGTTTTGGAGAATAATTTTATTACTTTTGAAAATAATTGAAATTTTGACGAGAATTTTAAAAAATTTTTGAAGATAATTGAATTTCTGTAAAGAATTTTATTACTTTTGAAAATAATTTAATTTCTGTAATCATTTGTAACTTTTCCAAAAATTAATTTTTTTTATGTTTTAAACTAAAATTCTTCTATAAATTCATTATTTTTAATAATTCATTAAATTATATATTAAAAAATTTAACTAATTTCAGAATTATTTAAATTTTGAAAATTTTTGCAAAAATTTAAGTTCTTTAGAATTTCTAATTAAATTAATTCAAAATTGAAAGCTTATAATATTTCAAATGAAAACCTTTTGAAGTTCATCTATTTATGAAAATTTTAAATGCAACTCTTTTAAAATCCAATTAATTTTGAAATATTTAAGTATAATTATTCTTTAATTAATTTATAAGTAATAATTTTATGATAGTCTTTCAAAAATTAAGTTATTTAAAAATAATTATTGTCCTGATTAAATATACTAAATACTTCAAATTCTTCAAATACTTCGAATACTTAAGTAAAAATACTTCAAAATACAGTTCTAAGTCCCTAACTATATTCCAAAATACTTTCCAATATTTTAAATACTTATGAATATAAAAAAAAAATTTTAAATCCCATACTGATTAAAAGTTAAATACCTAACGAAATTCGAGAATACTGTAAATACATAAGAAAAATAAAAAAAAATTTTAAACCCCACACGAATTAATAACTGTTATTTAAATTGAAAATGATACCAAAGCGAATACACCATAATACAGTAAATCGAATACATAATTCACAAAAAGCGTCGTACACATATACAGGAAGAGAGGAGGATCTGCATTTATTTTGCTTGCACACCCTTAACACACATTGTGCCCGAAGGCAACTTGTCTCTCTTGTCCTATGTCTTGTCTCAGAATTGATTTATAACGTAATAACCTTTTAATAACTTGCAATAACTTATGTGCAATGTCGTAATAATCGACTATTTTAAGGCAAAGCAAAATGAAGTAAAAAAACAAATGAAAAAAAAAATGTTTATATTTCCTCTCAAAAGCAATATGCGTCATTAATTAATCATTTGTTCACACTTATTATATCCGTATAGTGTCATTTTCTTTTATTCTTTTATATTGTCAGCGAGAATTTTATCTTACACTCATTTAATCACAGTTATTTCTCTTCAGGTGTTAATTTAATCTTTTCTAATTATCGAACGTGCGTGAAAGGAAAATTAGAAAACTCTTGTAATTATAATATCTTGCAAGTAAAAAAAACGCGATAATTACTCAAATAGCGTGGAATAATTAATTAATTTTTGTATTGATAAAAAAATTAATCATCATTTTCTTAAAAAAAAAAAAATTCAAAAATTTGAATTTCGAACATTTTTCAGAAACATTCCCGCAATATTAAAATATTCCTACAAAGAAAATTCTTATTTCTTCAATTAAACAAATTAATTAAAATATTTTTTTATTATTCAGCGAATAATCTTCAGTGATAATTAAAAATTATTCCAGGGGGGAAAGTTTTGAAAATATTTTAATATTTGATTTTCAGAAAAATTGGCGCAATATTAAAACATTCTAGCAAAGAATATTCTTATTTTTTTCAATTAAATTATTATTATAATTGTTTAAAAATTTTCAGCCAACGGGAGAAATTAAATTTTTTCAAACTTCATCAATAAAGAATAAAACAATTTTCAAAAAAGTATTTTAATATTTATTCCTTTTTCAGAAATATTTCCTCAAAGAATATTTTTTTTATATCAAATAAATAAACATAATCATTATTGTTTCGTTATTTAAAATATAATCACTAATATTTATATTTCAGTTGAAATATTTAAAAAAAGGGGAGAGGTCTAAAAAATAAAAATATCATTTTTCATTGTACTTCTCATTTTTTAATCATGGTCAATGTGATTACGTGTACGTTGATTACACAAAAAAATGTGTCGCTACAAGTTAATAATTAAGCGTACATATTACGAGACACTGGGACGCTGTTTTCTTTTACTATACATTTATATAAATTCTACATTTAACGTACATTATAATATATCTTTAACGCAGACGAATGTCATTGAGATCGTTTTATAATATATTTATATAAATCCTGAATTATTTATTTACACATTTTATTGAGGGGTGGGGGGAAATTTATAGATATAATATATATCTCTCTTGATAAAATTGTTTATATAACACATTATCTTACAATCTTTTCTATTTACAAAATTCTATTTACAAAAAAATTAAATAAATATTTTAAAGACATCGTCTCAATCGACCCTTACACATTATTATTTATATAAAACTCTCTACCTACAAATACAGCCAATAAATACAGTCGACATCTCAGTTTTACAGACTAATTGTTTTTACAGGGCTAATTGTTTCCATAAACAAAAAATTCATAATTTTAATTTTCCAAAAAATTTAATATTTCAAAGTATCTTTAATTTTTGTTTCCATTTTTTTCATTTATCAAATGAAACATATTTCTATTTTTTTAAAAATTGAAATATCTTTGAACTTGTTTTAAAGTTCTTTGAAATTGTTTTAAAGATCTTTGAAAATCCTTTGAAAATTATTTGATTTTTTCTTGAAATTTCTTTGAAAGTTCTTTAAAAATTATTTGAAACTTCTTCAAAAATTCGCTTATAGAAAAAACGTCATTTATAAATTAATTACATGATGCAATTATTTCAAATTAGCAATTTTCAAAAAAAAAAAAAAATTGAAATTGATTTTTTTTAATTTTTTGTTTTTCTCTGTTTTTAGGAAAAACGTTCTCTTGCACGAAAATATTAAAATTTTACGTAGAGAATAAAAAATTAATCAGGCTAATAATTAATTATTGAGGACTTTTCAACTCTCGTTATTGAATTTTTAATTTGAAAAAAATTTTACGAAGATGAATAAAATTAACGCCCTGGAGTGATTCTACAGTACTAGATGATGATAAAGCTTGATGAAAATCCACACTAGTAGATTCTCTCTTTCATTCCTTCTCTCTTCTTTTTTTCCGCCTGGAAAATTACAGACATTTTTCCCCACAAGCATCAGTCCATTAGAAACAGTCACTATCGAGCGTCAATCACAATTTCTTTCTCAAAATAGAAGAAAAAAGAAGAAGAAAATTGCGAATGTCCTGCGACAGTGAATCAATTTTTTTTCGATACTTTACGAGTGAATCTTTGTAATTCCAATCCTCGGTAATTCTGCTTCCATTTTTGTACACGAGCATCTGCGGGAATCTTCTTGAATCGCGTCATCCGTTGAGTTATCGTTCATCTTTTCTCTCTCTCTCTCTCTCTGTCTGTCTTTATCTTTCGCGAAAGAGAAATCGCAAAACGAAGATTTCACGTGATTTTCTCATGTACTCCCCATGGGATTTACGACTGTTGATTTTCAACTCTGTCGTCGATCTCCTCGCCATCCTCATCGACTGGAACGGTCGAGTGATTGTAGAGACCCTGAGCCATCAACTGAAGAGCGAGTGGATTCTTTTGACCGTTGGATTTCTTGATCTTCGCCCTCTTGTTCTGGAACCAGATCTTGATTTGGGCCTCGTTCAAGCCCAAGTCTCTTGAGAGTTGCTGTCTTCGTTTCTCAGTCAAGTATCTGTTCTCGGTGAATTCCCTCTTGAGTCGCGCCAGCTGCTCTGCACTGAAGGCCGTTCTAGGTCGTTTCTCGTCGGGTAATGTGCTACTACTGTTGCTGATCTTGTCACCGCTCGGACGTTTCACTCTTCTTGTTCGTGGTCCTGCAAAAAAATTAATAAACAACCTGGTCAGCATACGAACAATTACAAACAATTTACAATTTCTATTAAAGCTTCTAGCAAAATTTATTTTCAAATAAGAAAAATATTCATAAAATTTCTAACAAACGAGTGATTATTGTTACTTTCTGATTTTAGTTGCAATGTTTTTTTCCTTAAAAAAAAAGGAAGGGAATTTCAGAAACAAAATTGACCAAAAGGTAGAATAACAATCAAGAGAATGATTTTTTTTAGAAAACTACTTTGAAATAAATTTCCAATTTAAATTTCGGTTTTTGCTCCAAAGCGGAACGTTATTTTGCTTCAAAGAGAATTCAAACTGTTTCAATCTAAAGGAGAAGGTCCCCAAAAGAAAGAAATGGTGACAGCGGTGGGAATGTTTCTCAGCAGTACCAGAATTCAGTCTAATTTCGAAAAACAGCAAAGAAATAAAATAGCAGAGAATAAAGTACAAATGAAATGAAATGTCAACGAATAAACTACCAAAGAAACAAAATAGCAAAGAATAAAATACCAAAAAAATGAAATAGCAAAGAATAAAGAAAAGAGAATTTGAAACAATATCTCTCCAAAGTTATCAAAAACCTAATCTCAATTTAATTTCAATTATTACAATTTTAAAAATAAAACACTCTACAATGAAAGAAGAAACTATCTCTCTTGCTAATAATTCACGGCTCCAGTGTAAGTGCACCTAATAAAAAATGCATACAACTCTATATGTAGTTTTCCAGGTACATAAAGACCCGGGTACAATGTCTTGTTATAACCGCACCGAGCGTCCATGGTTTCGACTTATCGTTGGGGATTTCAACAAAAGAAGAAGCATTTAATTGTTAGGGGTAGGTCATGGTTTCTAACTGTGAAACAATTAAACCCTGCGAAAGTTAGCAGCTGCTTTATTTCAGCGTCCATTAACCTCCAAGAGTCGATTGTACACAACACGTGGCTAAACATATTATATCCATATCTATATACATCTCTCTCCCTCTCTCGCTCTTTCTCTCTCTATCTCTAAGTGCATATATATATAATAATAAATTCTATTTTTTATATATACTCCAAATGTGTCATTATACATCCTCGCGCAACTAAATTCAATTAAATTCTATATCTGGACAAAACTTTATTTATTCCCGCACTAAGTATAAGTTTTTCCCAACAGAATAAGTCAGGTCTATAAGATGCGATAAATAGTTGTTAATTACATCATATATTTTATATTTTCCCTACAAATGTATAGCGTGGGCAATTATTATGTTTCTCAACGTTCGTGACGGTATGGTTATAATTTATAACAATCATTGTGAATTTAAAACGAGACGAGACGATAAAATTTTTAATCAATTTTCGTACAATATCAGAAAATATTTTTACCTTTTTTGAATTTTTATTTTTCTTAAAAATTGGTGAATTTTGAAATCCATACGTAATTTTGTAGAAAATATGTTTTTAAATAGGTACACAAAAAATTGATTTTCATAATTTTTATAGCATTTTTTTTTTAAATCTCGGTTTTTAGGCTAAAAATGCTATAAAATACCATTATTTTTCATTTTTTTTTTTAAAGAAAATTCATTTGTTTATTTTTCTTATCAATTTCAGATCACAATTTTATCCTAATTTTTTTTTAGAATTTTTATTTTTTATATATAAAAATTATGATCTGAAATTAGTTACAAAAGTAAACAAATGAATTTTCATTTAAAAAAATGAAGAATAATTGTACTTTTTAGCATTTTCAGCCTAAAAACAGAGATTTTTTTCTAAAAAAAATGCTATAAAAATTATGAAAATCAATTTATTTATTTGAAATTTTTTTTTTGGATTCAAAAACATATTGTCTACAAAATTGCGTATGGATTTTAAAATCTACCAATTTTTAAAAAAAGTAAAAATTCAAAATATTTTATGACCATTAAATTCCTCACAAAAAATTAATTTAAAAATAATTTTGTTGAATATTTAAATTACTTCTTTAATACAGTTAAAAATATGGCTGTACCTTCCCCTTAAAGTTGCACACGTTCAAATTAATGACGATATTTTTATTATTTCTTTTAATTTTATTACAAAGTATTGTTTTCTAACAATTAAAAAATATTTGTGTCTTTTTTTATTATTTTACACTATATATCATTATTATATTATTTTTATTATATTATCTCATCATATCATCAAAACAATATTTTAACTAAATGTTCAATTAGAATATTTTTAAATTTTAGTAACTTTCAAACTTTTCCAAAATTACTAAAATGAAATGAAAAATAATGTAGGTAAATTAATATTCACTTCCGAATTTGTCTCTTTAATAGAAAAAATAATTTTTTAAATAAAAGAAAATTACAAATTGATAGAAACAGAAAAATATCGTCGTTTATATTTACGAACTTTAGGAACATCTCATAAATTTGAAAAATTTGGAATTCCTCCCATTCGAACTAATTAAACAACTTTCTTTATCATCGTGATAAAAATTTATGGAATTTCGATTTTTAAAACTGTATTAATTTTCAGAAGTTGTTCATCTTAAACAAGGATCACAGTTTTTTTAAATTATCAAATTGATACTAAAATGGATCAATTTTTTATTTAATCCACATTTTTGGTATCAATTCGTTGAAATTTGTTACTACTAAATTAACAGTGGAGCAATTAAATTGTCATCATCCTAAATAAGCAACAACTAAACTTTCATCCTAAGACAAATCAAAATTCAACAATTCTCAAGAAAGCGAATTTCAAAAATTTCTTCCAAGCAAAAATAAGTAAGAGAATTAAAAATTTCGAGTAGAAAATATTCCCAAAATTATAATTTTAATTTCAGAAAGTAACAAAATCGTAAAATAAATTAGAAAAATCAAGAATCAAAAATCTTCGATTTTTGATTCTTGATTTTTCTAATTTATTTTATCAAATTTTTTGTATCAATTCGTAGTAGTTTGAAACTTAAGTTAACAGTAGTAATTAATTAACTCTGATATTAAATGACTTTAAATACAAATAAAGAAAAGTTTCTAAGAAAACAAGAACTTTCAACTTACCGGAAGAGGGTCTGTCCGAATATCTCGTGCAGTAAATCCAAGCGGGCCAAACGCTTTGTCCATTCGTTCCATTGGCCGTTGAGCCACTTCCAGTGGTGGATGCTGCATTTCCGCTGTTACTTTCACAGCTAATGGACGATTCCCCGCTGATGGTCGACGAGGTCGAGCACAAGGACGGCGCGCCGGTCACTGAGCTGCCAGTCACAGAACTCCTATTGCTCGCGAGACTTTCAAGACTTCCACTCCTACTGAGTCCGGAATGCCTTTGGAGTGGTGACGTTAAGCCGCAATGGGACGAGAAGGATGAGTCGCGGTCCCTTTGACTCGACACCGATACTGGCGGCGATTCAGGAGGTGACAATCTCGACGACGAGAGACTCAAATCGCGCGGCAATGGAATTGGACTGTGCGCAATTGGCTTCACAATTGTTGCTGATGATTTTGGCGATGTACTCGTCTTTGTTGTCAATATAGCCTCTCTTCCAAATTCGGGTCGTAATATATTAACAACACTGAATCTCAAGGCATTTGATTCCGAGTCGGAATGTTCATCACGTCTCGAAAGTTGATGATGATGATGACTTTCGGCTATTGGTGGCGAGCACATACGCCTATGATGATGTAGAAGAGGATGGTGAAGATGATGATGAGATGGGATACCACCCAAACGTAAACCGTACGCCGACTCCATGCTTACTAACGCAACACTCATTTTAAAATCGTTCGAAATTGTACAAAATTCGATACACGTTTCAGTTGCACTTCATGTATTAAACAAGATCACTTTAATGTATTTTCGAAACACTTCGGAAAATAAAAAAATGTTCAAGTCTTTAAAGAGAATAAAGTTTACTGGTACACTGGTCCAGGGATGCTGTGCGAGTAGAACGCAAACTGTTTGGGAAGATTTTTCCCGTGGTTTCCGAGTACTCGAGCGACTGCCGTGACGGGTCTGACTGGCTGTCCATCCGTCGCTCAGTGATGTCTAAACTATGGTCCTGAGGTCCCTACTTACCGCTCCCCCCTTTCCCTCTTCACTCCTCCTACGCGAGGCTGAGTGCAGTGCACTAGACACCCTCGATTGTATCTCTATTAACTCTCCGGCCGAATGCTCCGCCTATCGTCGAACGTCTCCACGGTGAGGAATTTCTCAAATCCCTTCTCTTTCAACTTCTTTCTCCTCCCCACTCTTTCACTCAATCCCCCCTCCGCTTTCCAATTCCCCTCTCACACTCTAGAGCTCGCTCTGGAGAACTATCGCTCTCTCGATACACTCAATAGGTGTCTCCGATATACGAAAAATCATCACTAGTATTAACTAATCGTTAGCAGCAGTATTGTTAAATAGAAAATTGAAAATTTTCGATATTTTGAAAGTCTCTTTTTTGATTTAGAGAAAAAAGAAGAGGAATACCCCTTCCAGTGGGAATAAAGTGGTGGGGGTACCCCGCCCGCCATCTTGCCCCTCCTATTTCGCTTGTTCACGCCCCCAGTGACAGACGCTAAAAGCTCCTCCGCCTCCTTCCATTTCTCTCTGCCCCCTCTCTCCTCACCAGTGTCCCTTTCCCCCCTTTTATATTCAAAAACCACCTTAACGCTGCGGCGAGTCAACTTTTAGGGCTAATTCGTTTCTTCTGATCGACAAACATTCACTTCGGCGCTCGTCTATATGGATTTTATCGTTCAAGCATGCAGAATCTCTTCATACACAAATTTACACGTCCACTCCCCCATTCCATTTTTTGATATAAGCCCCCCCATTCCTCTCTCTCTCTCTCTCACTTTGCCTTTTTTGTGTCGACTTTTACGGCATGGAACAAAATAAACGAATGTGTTATCCGCCCATGGCAGATGTGTATATACATATACATAATAACGTAATTTATTCTACGATCACTTACTTTGGGAAATTTATATTTTTTCTACACAAGTATAAAGTGATTTTGGCTCCGCATTAGGATTTTCGTGATGCGTATTATATACAAGAGAGGGCAGCTGTGCGCGTCCGTCGCATCGCAAAAGAAGTGATTTTGGCTCCGCATATTAAGGATTCGTAAAAATAAATATTTTAAAAGCGTGAAGGATTTTTTGACCATCACACGCTATTGTAAATTGCTAAATCATCTCAATTTTTTCGAGATTTTATATAACATAGGGTGGGGAGGATTCATGAGGAAAAACTGAGATGTTGCGGATGAGTGACGCGCATTGAAAAGAAAATTATTGCCATACATCTTTTCTGAAATGCGTCACGCATAGACTTTGTTATGGCGAGCAAGAAAATAGATTAATTCGAGAGTTACGGAATAATTTCGATACTTTTTTTGCGGTTCCGTATCTATTATAGATGCTAAACAAAAACTTTTCGTATTTTCTTCGTATATCACAAAAACTTGTTATTTATTATTAATAGTCGAAAAAATGTATATCATCTGAGCAGCGCAGGTATATTTTTACCTGAATATTTCAATATTTTATTTGTGATTCAAATAATGTTTGGTAAAATTAAAATCTTCAGCTTATAATAAGATAAATAATATATGCGCGGAAAAGTTGACGTAATATTTGAAAATATAAAATTAATACCAAATTGGATCAAATTAATGCCAAAAATTTTGATCGAATTATGACTTTTGACTCACATTTTTGGTATATCAATTGGTTGAATTTGATAATTTCAAGCTAACAATGAATAATTAAATCAAATTGATATACCAACAAAAAATTTGTATCAACTTCTGATTTGATACATATTTTTGGTATCAATTCGCTGTAATTATTAATATTTAAAGTTAACAGTAATTTAAGATGCTTTTGATAACTTTTCGGAAAACAACTTAAAAATGACTGCCAAAGTATATTTTAAAATAAGACTTCAGACAATAAAATTTCATTAATAATTTTTTTTTGAAATGTTAAAGTAATATTTAGATATAACATTAGCCCTTGGAGGGCCAGTCTTGGTTTCAGGCAATATATAAACATTTTTAAAACAAAATATAATTATAATGTTTAAAGAAAATATTAAATTTTAAAATAATTTACGATAAGATTTAAAAATTTTTTAAATAAAATTTCATTTTTAACAATGTATGTATCGGTAAATTTTTTTCAAAATTTTTTGTAAGAAACTAACACTAAATTAACAATTTTTAAGCCTTATCCAATCGTGGGCAAACGATGGGATCTATTTATTTTGAAATTTTTAATTTTTATATGTGAAAAGCGGTAGGCCTAACTTGACAATTGACCAAATCACAATTTTACACAGAAAGAAGGTTAAGTTTGGAGAGACTCAGTCTGAAAACACATTTGCTGTGAAAAATTTGGGTGATTTTGTCAAATGGCAAGTTAGTCATTTGGCCACCACTGCGTATATAAAAATTAAAATTTTCAAAATAAATATAGATCCCATCGTTTGCCCACGATCGAACAAGGCTTAAAAATTGTTTATTTAGTGTTAGTTTTTTACAAAAAATTTTGAAAAAAATTGATCGATACATACATTGTTAAAAATGAAATTTTATTTTAAAAATTTTAAAATCTTATCGTAAATTATTTAAAAATTTTTAAAAAATATTTTTATTAAAAACTATGCGTGAAAACAAAACTTTTTATTATAAAAACGTCCAATTTTATCAATTTTTGACCGAGTTATAAGCATTTAAAAAAAAATTTACGTACTCTCTATAAATGTGAATTAGTAAAAATGTTTACTAATTTGGATTAGTGACTGACTTTTTGCTTTTGAATTAGTAAATTTTACTAATAAATTAGTAAAAGTTACTCTTTATTAGTGAAGTTTACTATTTCAAAAGCAAAAAGTCAGTCACTAATTCAAATTAGTGAACATTTTTACTAATTCAAATTTAGAGAGTAAAAAACGTAATTTTTCAAAAACCTGTATCTCCTGAACCGGTTTATGAAAAAATTTGAAAAAAATCAAGGTACCTCATTTCAAAGAGTACTAAAAGAAAAAAATGTTTAAAAAAAATTTGAGATGCAAAAGCAAAATTATTTCCGGCTTGGCGTGGAATGCCCCTAATATAATATCATCCTTTGTATAATATTGAGATAATATTAAAAAAATCTAATCCTGAAATATTTAGCTAATATTAAACTATATAATGTTACCCTGTAATAATGAACTAATGCTATACCCCTCTCTAATATTAAACTAATGCTACTCTGTAATATTGAAATAATATTACCCCCCGTAATATGCAGTTCAGCACCTTTAAAAATGTGCTATTAGCAATATTAGATTATAACTTCGTTGGTCACCGCACACTTGAGATTTCGTCGGCGCAAAAGTTTTTCTGCAAAATTTGCAATTACAAACTACATACATACTACTACTGGGGGTATATAAGTTACAATTTATGACTCAGTTGGAGATCAGTTAGAAAGTCGATCTAACTTGGAGATTTATGTGTATGCATATAATATGAATATGTTTGTAATGTAGAGGATGCTATTACGTAAAACCGCGCTCATTTCATATATATTTTCCAGCACGATATTAAAAAAACTATCAAAGTTTCACGGTATTTCGGAATTTATCAATTATTAATAGAAGCAAGAAGCAGATATTAATTGCGCCAGATAATATAATTTATATTGCGCTTTTATGCACAGCATATAATAATATAATATCAAATATGTCTTTTGTTTTAGATCTGATTCTATATGCGAGTTAAATGTTCTTTTCAAATTTTTGTCATCTCTTATTTTTATTATCTTTATTTTAATATTTTTCTTCTCTTATTTTTTATAATCTTTGTTTTATTTCTTCCTTTTCGACTCTCTTCTGTTCATTCTGATCTCTTTAAGATCATTAATTTATCTATCTCTTAATTTTCTTCTCTTTCTGCTTTACCTCGTTTTTATTCTCCTCGACCTTATTTTTCTTCTTCTTCTTCTTATTTTGCATCTCTTTCTCCAACTGCGTTTCTTTATATTCTCTTTCTTCCCCTTCTTTTGATCCTTCTTCTCCTCCATTTTCTCCCTTTTTGCTTCTATTTCTGTTTTAATGTTCTTTCACTACATAGCTTTAAACGACATAGAACGTGGCGCCATCTACAAGGTAAAATTTGTTCCTGTTACTTTAACACCAAAATCGGTATTAAAATAACACTTTTTATTTTTTATTTACATTATTAATAGTATAATATCATTATAAGCCATTGATATTACAGCGTGCATAAATGTAATTCAAACTTCAATGTTTATAACCCAAAAGAAATTGATTAAGATTTTTCCTTGACTCCTATATATAACTCTAAAATTTTTTGTGATTTCATATATAGTCATTTATTCGAGTCTCGCGGTTTCGACGTTTGTAGTTTAACTGATAAAACTGTGTGTATATAATGCAATTGAAGTCAATTTGTGCTGTTCTTTATAAGCCACAAGCATTCACTTTGGTAAACTTTCAATTCTCTCTCTTTTATATATATATATATATATACATCAAATCGATTTAAATTTTTTTCCCTATCTCTGCGGCCAGGAAAACTTTTTTGTTCAAGTAATATTGTATATATATACATGGGATATTATATGCAATTTATAGCTCTTAAATTTAAAAAGAATTATAATACTCACAATTTAGTAACATCAATAATTTTAAAATGCATCTAATGCTAATTTTTTGATAAAAAAATTAATATCACATTATTATTATTATTATAAGCAATTTAATGATTGTATTATTATAATTTATAATTGTTTATTATTTTATTATTTGTAATTATTATTCATTTACTTATTTTGTAATAGTAATAATTTTTTATCAAGAAGCAAATGTTATTCATTATTATTTGTTTATCGAAAAAATAAAAGTGTAATCAACAATTACTGAATAATAATAGAGAAATAAAATGTGTTTTTTTTAAATTCTCCGCGCGTGTAAGATTGTAAGATTGTTGTAAGTCACTAACTTAGTTTAGTTGTAATTTCCTGTGTTTGAAACAATAAATATATAGGTATGTATATACATATGAATCGTGTATTTCATTTGGTAAGTGAAAGCCCATTTTCTGCATCAAACAATTACCTTCGCATAGTGTAGGTATGTTGATTTAATTGTAGCCTACGATTTAATGTCTGCCTGCGATAATTTATCGCTCCTTGTGTTCTTATTTCCATCAACAGAGACTAATGGTATTGTTATACGCTTGT